ATGTATAGACCGAGACCAATGGGAAGGGCAGGGGGTCGGGGGGGATTTATTGCCGGGAAGTATATAGCATGAAGCCAATAGGAATAGAAGGGGAGATTTATAGCTGATCAGTATAGACCAAGGTAATGGGAAGAGACGTGGGAGAATTATAGCTGGTCCTTATAAATTGGGGCTGATGAGAAGAGACTTAAAGCCAGTCAGAATATAGCCGGTCAGTATATAGAATGAGGCCGATGGGAAGAGAGAGGGGAGATTATTAGCCGGTCAGTATATAGAATGAGGCCGATGGGAAGAGAGAGGGGAGATTATTAGCCGGTCCTATATAGAATGAGGCTGATGGGAAGAGAGAGGGGAGATTTATAGCATGTTAGTATAGACCATGGGCGATGGGAAGAGAGGGGGAAGATTTATAGTCGGTCCATATATAGAATGAGGCCGATGGAAAGAGAGGGGGAGATTTATAGCTTGTTAGTATAGACCATGGGCGATGGGACGAGAGGGGGAAGATTTATAGTCGGTCCATATATAGAATGAGGCCGATGGAAAGAGAGGGGGAGATTTATAGCTTGTTAGTATAGACCATGGGCGATGGGAAGAGAGGGGGAAGATTTATAGTCGGTCCATATATAGAATGAGGCCGATGGAAAGAGAGAGGGGAGATTTATAGCCGGTTAGTATAGACTGAGGCAGATGGGAAGAGGGGTGAGGAGACTTATGACCGGTCAGTATAAACTGAGGCGTGGGAATTTATGGCGGGGCTTTTTAGTGCCCCGGTAAGGGTTGTTTAGCACCCAAGACCAAAGTACCTGTGAACTACCTCAGCAGTATTGGTTGCTGGTCCTGCTCTTTCTGTGGGCATTGCAGTTCCATGACATGTATGACAACTTTCCTGCTTATAGTTCTGGTGCAGTTCAGACTTATTGACTAAATCTTTTAGAAATATTCCTTCTCCGGGGAGAGAACCGACCTTGTACCCGGCAGGGGTGCTGTGATTGGTATAATAAGAACCTGCACTGGTCTTGCCCTACGACTGTTCATTGTCTTTTCCCCTCTTCCCTCTGCAGTGACCAAAGGTAGTAACGTCATCCAGCTGGACGTGGACACAGAAGGAAGCCACTTGGTGGGGATCAGTCCGTCGTCACATGTCCACAATCACGGGACCCTGTTTGTGGGAGGAGTTCCCGGTAAGTACAGTGAATGTACAGTGGCAGCATTATATAGAAATGTCTGTGTCACGAGGACTCAACAAATCTCATATCACGAAACACCGGGAACATTTTAGTGAAATAGTAATATATCCCAGTAATACATTTCCACGAGGACTGGTTTGGGTTTTCAGTATGAATGTTAGTGATCCCTGGTGTGACTAGGGGAAAATCCTCCATGCTTGATTTTATGACAGACCAGTACATTTGTAGAGAGCCTTTGTGTGAATCAGTAGTTATCCTCCCACAGTGAGCAGAGAGAGACGAGGACAATGATAGAGAGCTCTTGTGCTCAGTGGTGGATCTCATTGCCGGGCTCACATTTTGACTTTTATATAAGACCGGTAAAATTCATTTTCACACAAATTTTCATGAGGAATGCCAATTTTCATTTAATTAAAAGACGAGTAAAAGTGAAATAGGTGATTGCTTAGAATGTAGACCTGCATATGCTCCACCTTGTATGACCAGACATTTGATCCCCCTTTCCCTCTTCTTACAGTGACTCTTCGCAGCACACAAGTCTTAGCACCCCCATACCACGGCTGCATGAGGAACCTCAGCATGAATAGAAAGCTTGTCGACGTCTCAAAGTCCGGAACGTTCTCAGGATCTTCGGGCGTCAATGTCTGTCCAGTATGTATAGACCGAGACCAATGGGAAGGGCAGGGGGTCGGGGGGGATTTATTGCCGGGAAGTATATAGCATGAAGCCAATAGGAATAGAAGGGGAGATTTATAGCTGATCAGTATAGACCAAGGTAATGGGAAGAGACGTGGGAGAATTATAGCTGGTCCTTATAAATTGGGGCTGATGAGAAGAGACTTAAAGCCAGTCAGAATATAGCCGGTCAGTATATAGAATGAGGCCGATGGGAAGAGAGAGGGGAGATTATTAGCCGGTCAGTATATAGAATGAGGCCGATGGGAAGAGAGAGGGGAGATTATTAGCCGGTCCTATATAGAATGAGGCTGATGGGAAGAGAGAGGGGAGATTTATAGCATGTTAGTATAGACCATGGGCGATGGGAAGAGAGGGGGAAGATTTATAGTCGGTCCATATATAGAATGAGGCCGATGGAAAGAGAGGGGGAGATTTATAGCTTGTTAGTATAGACCATGGGCGATGGGAAGAGAGGGGGAAGATTTATAGTCGGTCCATATATAGAATGAGGCCGATGGAAAGAGAGGGGGAGATTTATAGCTTGTTAGTATAGACCATGGGCGATGGGAAGAGAGGGGGAAGATTTATAGTCGGTCCATATATAGAATGAGGCCGATGGAAAGAGAGAGGGGAGATTTATAGCCGGTTAGTATAGACTGAGGCAGATGGGAAGAGGGGTGAGGAGACTTATGACCGGTCAGTATAAACTGAGGCGTGGGAATTTATGGCGGGGCTTTTTAGTGCCCCGGTAAGGGTTGTTTAGCACCCAAGACCAAAGTACCTGTGAACTACCTCAGCAGTATTGGTTGCTGGTCCTGCTCTTTCTGTGGGCATTGCAGTTCCATGACATGTATGACAACTTTCCTGCTTATAGTTCTGGTGCAGTTCAGACTTATTGACTAAATCTTTTAGAAATATTCCTTCTCCGGGGAGAGAACCGACCTTGTACCCGGCAGGGGTGCTGTGATTGGTATAATAAGAACCTGCACTGGTCTTGCCCTACGACTGTTCATTGTCTTTTCCCCTCTTCCCTCTGCAGTGACCAAAGGTAGTAACGTCATCCAGCTGGACGTGGACACAGAAGGAAGCCACTTGGTGGGGATCAGTCCGTCGTCACATGTCCACAATCACGGGACCCTGTTTGTGGGAGGAGTTCCCGGTAAGTACAGTGAATGTACAGTGGCAGCATTATATAGAAATGTCTGTGTCACGAGGACTCAACAAATCTCATATCACGAAACACCGGGAACATTTTAGTGAAATAGTAATATATCCCAGTAATACATTTCCACGAGGACTGGTTTGGGTTTTCAGTATGAATGTTAGTGATCCCTGGTGTGACTAGGGGAAAATCCTCCATGCTTGATTTTATGACAGACCAGTACATTTGTAGAGAGCCTTTGTGTGAATCAGTAGTTATCCTCCCACAGTGAGCAGAGAGAGACGAGGACAATGATAGAGAGCTCTTGTGCTCAGTGGTGGATCTCATTGCCGGGCTCACATTTTGACTTTTATATAAGACCGGTAAAATTCATTTTCACACAAATTTTCATGAGGAATGCCAATTTTCATTTAATTAAAAGACGAGTAAAAGTGAAATAGGTGATTGCTTAGAATGTAGACCTGCATATGCTCCACCTTGTATGACCAGACATTTGATCCCCCTTTCCCTCTTCTTACAGTGACTCTTCGCAGCACACAAGTCTTAGCACCCCCATACCACGGCTGCATGAGGAACCTCAGCATGAATAGAAAGCTTGTCGACGTCTCAAAGTCCGGAACGTTCTCAGGATCTTCGGGCGTCAATGTCTGTCCAGTTCTCTGAATAGACAGCCGACAGCGAAAGGACAAATTGTAATGTGACTGCTAGCGTCTAATGGGCAGACACCACTACACTGTGCCAGTAACGGGGGAGAGGAAAGAGGACCTGTCCTAGCCTTTCCCCGTCTCCTAGAATCATGGGTGCTTCCTATGCGGTTAGACAACGGAACTAATCTTCTTCCACAGACCTCACAACACTTACCCAGCTACTCACAATTGGATCTTCTGTGGTCTTGCTGTAACCTGCAGCTGTCAGAGACTTGTTTCCTGTCTGGGGTCACTGTGGTAATTCTAAAGGTAATGGCAGAGCTTCACCACTGATCAGACCTTGTCACAATCCGAGCCTTGTCGGTCCTCTACACCTCTGGCAGACCCCTCTAAGTAATCACTCATAGATGTTACCGAATAGGGGCTCTGACAGGTCTGTTTCTGAAAAGCGTTCAGGAGCTTGAAGTCTATCTAACTTTGTTTTACATTTTGGGCAGAGTAGGGAAAGGTCAAACCCGTCCGTTTTTTTCTTTCTTGCCTTCTCTGTCCCATTCTAGAGATTTCCCTTCACTTCCTGCCCTTGTAGACACAACAGGAAGTGAGAAGAAATCTCTCCTCTCGGACAGTTGTCATCAGAACAACTGGAAGGTTTTCAGTCTATTCCTGTGCTGGTGAGAACTCAACATTGTGGATTTTTCCACATTCAGTGAACCTCCCCAGATGGAGACAGCCAAAAATAATTGACAGGAGTTCTAAACCCCTCACCCACACTATATAGAAATACATTTTCTGAATGTGATTGAACTCTTTCCCGTAAAGTTATTCGATTCTCTAACCCATCCCCGCTCTATCCAAACCAAAATAATGGGGGATTACCAAAGAGTGGCGCAGGGATAAAGCTTATGCTAGAACTGAGAAAATGGAGCAGATCCTCGCCCAGGCCTCTTTGTCAATGAGGAGCGATCTGCTCCATTTTCTATGCCATGTCTGCACCGGTTACGGCACTGAGAGCTAGAGCTGCTTGCTGGGCTCCCCGCAAACCTTCCCCCCAATCCTTACTCAGCTAAGAGCAAGAGGGAGAAGGAAGGCTGTTATAGATGCATTTGCTGGGCACATAGGCAGGTAGAGGAGCTTTCCTGGCTGTACATGCAGATGCTTCTCATGTAGTATGTTTGCTGCAGGGGCAGAGAGAGGCATGTGAGATGCCAGGTCACCTTAAACCGGTCTATCTGCTTTGTTAATGTGGCCCCAGCTTTGTTAACCCCCCCCGATCTTTTGGCTGGAGTTGTATATGTTAGCGAGCAAACATTTAACTTATTGTAACATTTACCCCAAAAGTGATTGTTGCTCTGTGTACATTTCTATGCTATTGCTGTTCCATCGTTTAAAATACAATTTTCTAATTGTTCCCTCTAGTGGTCATCTTTCCTGGAATGTAATTGGCTAGCCTGCTATAAGAACTGTGGAGATCAGCCTGGTCACTGCTATGGTGGAGTTTTCCCAAACTTGTCCTCAGGTCCCAGCAACAGGTTGTTTTTAGAGAGGATCCTGTCTGTACATAGGTGGGCTTATTAGCATTACAGGTGAGAATGAGTCACTCGTGTGTACAGTCAAAATACATGACCTGCTGGTGGAACTGGATGAGAGGTCTGAGAAACATTGGTCTGTTCTCTGTCAGCGCTCACCTGACCCAGATCTGCACAATGAGACAAATACAGTTACTGTGACGCACCACGAAGACCCATGCCAACTGATCATGTCACTGGTGACACCTTTCTCATCTGACCAGCACCCCATCCCCATTGGGCACAACCGATATCCCTCTCTCCCACCCACTGGTCACGGGGCATCACTCTTTGTCTCCCCACTAACCTCATCCACACAACCCCAAATGTTGAGTGTAGGTCCATGCGGTTGGAGCTCTGATTTTACCCCTTTCGTTCCCATTTACCTAGATATCAGACCTCACCAATTCTGAACTCTATATCGGTTGTGAGACTCGGCTGTTTCCTCTATTGTCTCCACAACAAGGGTAAAGCTACTAGCTGGGGTGATCTGAAGGAAGACATGGTTAGAGAACGTGTCATCCTGAAGTAGAGCAAGTTCCTGTATATGTATATTATGGATGGCAGTAGCGTAGTGGCTGAGAGCTGGGCCTGCTGTCTTCTCGGTTCAGTACAAATCGTTTGACTTTTTTTTTTGTTCTATTTTTTTTTCATTGTCTTTCTGTCATACGGGGACCTTAGTATTTGAGCTGAGGTGGTGGCTCAGAGGTTGAGTGTGCTGACTGCTGTGTGGGAGATTGGAGTTCAAGCCTCACTGAGGACAAGGTTGGTGTGTGGTACCTGAAGCTAGGCTGGTGTGCCCTGAGTAGGTGAAACAGGTATTGTGACATGCATAGTGGGACTTCGAATATTGTATTGTTTGCAGGTGCGGTGTAGCAGCCAGCCCTTAGAACATGAAGATTTAGTAAATCAGGACTCAGTAAATGAAATGATCTCTGATTTTTATCGATGAATGATTCACACCTCCTCGTATTTCACATCATTGGCAGACTAATAATGACGATATTAGCATTAGGTGATCCTATAGTCCTGCTGTGGACTCTGCCGGCATCATTATTTGTAACGAGCTGTCCCAATCAGGAGAGTGAAAAGTGGGACTTTTAGAATATTTTTTCAAGCCTCACTGAGGGCAAGTCTGGTGTGCCCTGAGCAGGTGGTTCCTGGAGAAGAGGTTCAGGTATTGTGGAGGGCAGCACTGAGGGTGAAAATATTGGCATTAGAGAGTTGACCCAGAAAATTTGCTAAGTACAAAAAGTTTTCTGGGCTCCCCCGGCAAGACAGCCCAGGTTTTTGTTGTTGCATTTATGTCACAGATATTGGACCAAAAGGGGCGGGTCCGCAACCTAATGTGATGCCCACACATGTTACAAGTCTGTGGGGGCCTGGAGCAGACTGGTGGGATGTCCATGGCCTCCAGACTTTTACTCAGTGATTCAAGCTCAGGTCTACTGTACTTCCATGGGGGGTGCTTGGGGGTCTACAGTGCTTGTCTGGGGGTCTACAGCACTTTCATGGAATGGTGCACAGTGCCTTCATGGATTTGCCCTTGGGGGGTCTACAGGCACTTTGAAGGATTTGAACTTGGGTCTATGGTGCCCTGGGTCAACGCTCCTATCCTCTGAGCTACTTGCCTTTGCTCAGAGACTGCTGTGATTGATGTGATTGTTGTCCTAGTGCAGGACTCTGAAGGCCTCAGAGATGTAAAAGGATGAATCAAGATTTGAACCTGAAACTTCAAAAATCTCTGCTAGACCATTGGCTGGGTGCTAAACCCCTGAGCCAGCTGGCCCCTTGAAATCCAAGACAGTCAATCAGGACTTAGGAAGTGAATTGTCACCACGGACTCCTACAAATTTAAACAGATGAACCGAGATTGGAACCTGCAACTTCAAAATCTCTAGGCTAAGCTCTAAGTATTTCCAGCAACCTTTGAAAATGGCAGCTCTCCCAGAATGCTCCAGCCTTCCCCTTTTATCTCACCTGAATAATTAATCATCAATCCAGGTGAGAGAGAAAAAAAATCTGAACTGGATTACCCAGACTCTCCAAAGTCTACCCACAAACCCCGCTCTGGATTCAGCTAGTCTTGTACATATGAGAGAAAGCGAGGGGAATTATATTGCCCCTCCGCCATGATTTCCCCTTTCCTTATGTCACAGTATATATATTTATGGATGACAATAAGGAAAGTGAGATTACAGATGGTTCCTTGTGGAGGTATTTTAGGCGGCGTGCGGTTCTGCAGACTTCATTATAACTTCCAGTGTTGGTGATGACGCTGAGACATGTCGCCATGATATTCAGGCTGCCGGGCCACAGAAGAGTCAGCAGTGGAGATGTTGCATCCCGTCTTGGTCCAATGACAAGCCATCATATTAGTTGCCGCCCTCACTCCTCGTACCCCCCCTCTCTCACACACGCAGCACACTCCTCATGCCCCCCCTCTCTCACACACGCAGCACACTCCTCATGCCCCCCCTCTCTCACACACGCAGCACACTCCTCATGCCCCCCCTCTCTCACACACGCAGCACACTCCTCATGCCCCCCCTCTCTCACACACGCAGCACACTCCTCATGCCCCCCCTCTCTCACACACGCAGCACACTCCTCATGCCCCCCCTCTCTCACACACGCAGCACACTCCTCATGCCCCCCCTCTCTCACACACGCAGCACACTCCTCATGCCCCCCCTCTCTCACACACGCAGCACACTCCTCATGCCCCCCCTCTCTCACACACGCAGCACACTCCTCATGCCCCCCCTCTCTCACACACGCAGCACACTCCTCATGCCCCCCCTCTCTCACACACGCAGCACACTCCTCATGCCCCCCCTCTCTCACACACGCAGCACACTCCTCATGCCCCCCCTCTCTCACACACGCAGCACACTCCTCATGCCCCCCCTCTCTCACACACGCAGCACACTCCTCATGCCCCCCCTCTCTCACACACGCAGCACACTCCTCATGCCCCCCCTCTCTCACACACGCAGCACACTCCTCATGCCCCCCCTCTCTCACACACGCAGCACACTCCTCATGCCCCCCCTCTCTCACACACGCAGCACACTCCTCATGCCCCCCCTCTCTCACACACGCAGCACACTCCTCATGCCCCCCCTCTCTCACACACGCAGCACACTCCTCATGCCCCCCCTCTCTCACACACGCAGCACACTCCTCATGCCCCCCCTCTCTCACACACGCTCCTCATACCCCCCTCTCACACACAGCACACGCCCTGTACCCCGCTTTCTGCCACACACACACCTACCACCCTAACCAGGGCTCCTGAGAGTGAAATGACCAGCAGTTGCATTTCTAAGAAGATATTGAAGGGCCGATGCACATTTTTTTATTTGGGAAATTGGAGCAGAATATATTTAGGAGGTGTCAGTGCCAAGTAACCCTCCATTGTACCCCAAAATAATGCAGCTTGATCTGAGCTGATCTCACTTTACACAAATTGGATTTCGGATTGCACACAATGACCGCTCTTCACATCCAACCCCCTGTGCTGCCGCTAGCAACCAAGCAGATTGTGGTTGGTGTGGGAAATGCAATCTGATTGGACCAGACTTGTATGGCTCCCCCCATACCGGGGCACTGGGCCCCCACCAGATTCCCTGTTAGAAGTATATAGACTGTACATTTTGTGGGTAGACAGTCCTGTGCAGATATTTATTACGGTGTCGCCGGCTTTGTTCTTCCTGTGGTAGTCCTGCGTGAAATATTTGTAATAAAATATATATTTAAAGTCTATTTCAGTCACTGATTTCACCTCTGCACATACGTGTTACATGTCTGCGTACACGCATGTGGAGAAATATTTAAAGTACACAGAACACTCTAACACTTCACCGGTGTATTTTTTTTTAGAGGCAAGACTCTCCAGCGCCGGCAGCCATCTTGTGGGCGGAGCCACTAGGGATCAGTGATATTACTGGATGACTGTTTGAGCATTCAGTGATATCATTGGCTCCTGTGTGCAGTTTGTTTGTCTCAGCAATGAGCTGCATGAATGTGGAATCCGCTGGGCAAGATGGCCGTCTGGGAAGCTTGTGGTCACGGCCACGGTAACCATTCGAATTTGTAAAATAAAGGCAACGCTTCCCTGAGGGAGATCTGTGAATGAAATGCTAGTCTGTCTCTGTAAAATAAAAACACACTTTCCTGATCATGTGACGTGTGGTTATTGGTGCAGGAAGCTCCTCCCATCTCAGGGAAGACAATGGAGTCAGTTGTGAGCAAAGAGAACGGTTTATTAAACATGGAAAGGACATATGAGGGGGGGAGGGGGTACAAAGCCAGGCTTAAGCATGTATCATATCATTCTGCAGCACACAGACGAGCTCAGTCTAGACTCATGTCCTCTTCTTCCTCCTTCTTCTCTTTGGAGTCTCTCTCTTTCTGAGACGAAGTGTTCTGCATCGCCTTGGCAAACGCCTCAATGTCTGCAGAGGACAAAGGAAGGAAAAAGTCAGAAATTCATTAAAGGAAACACAGACTGACTGGCATGGGTAGGCTGCCATTTCTGATCTTGAGAATGCTCCAGGCCTGGCTGTCTGGTATCAATATTCTGTGTTATTGACCAATAAGACATCAAAGGTCAGAATTAAAGCCCGACAACATGCAGTGGGTGAATATAAACTCAGGTGGCAATACCTCAGCCTACTCTAGTGGAGTTGTCCCAAGCAGTATCTCCTTTCACCCACACGATGATGTTCTCATTCTTTCAGGTTGAATGATGACCATCGTCCTTCATCATGGCGGAGTAATGACGTCCTATGTGTGCAGGGCATTATAGACCCCGCCCCTTCAAGGGAGCCACCATGGCACAATGATGCAGAGAGCAGCGCTGACATTTCTCAATACTCCTTCTCAACCACAAGATGTCCAGCGGCACTAAGGCTCCATTCACACAATGCAATCTGGCATTCCGGTGGCAGGAATCCCATTCACATGTGGCTGCTGTACCCGTTCCTAAATGACCGGGTGACAGCGGGCGCATCTGTTATATAAGATTACTGTCCCTGGATGCAGGAAAGATTCAGCCGCTGCACCCCGTCATTTACTTGAATGGATACAGTAGCTGCATCTGTACGGGGCACCCAGGAATCCCAGATCACCCGGTGTGAATGGGGCCTTACCCTGGAAGACGGAGGACATGCAGGGCATCATGAGGGGCTGTTACCATGGCGCCCGTATTCACTGTGTAAATGTACAGAAAGCAGTGCCAACATGGGGAGGATTCTCTGCACATTGCTGAGGATGCTCCCTGATGCACATGGTCCTCGTCCTCTCTGAAACGTCTGCATCATGTGACCGGATTGAAGACATTTGGAGATTAAAAGAAATGTTTCCGGTGGAGGCTGGCCTTAAATATCAGACCTCCTGAACTGCACACTAGTTTTGGGTCAGAGACACCAGAGAAGCAGAATATCAAATAGGGAATGACAAGCTGGTTTTATACTTTCTACAAACTGATGGTGACATCTCTCCACGGCTCTGTGACCATGACATAACCCTCAGCAGACGTGTGACCTCCCTCCTTCCCAAAAAACAAAAGATGGGAAAGCCTTTAGAAAATTCTTCATTAGCAGTGCAGGTGGTGTCTGGATTTTTGGGAGTGCGGAAAGGCACATTCAGCACCTCTAGGATAAAATGAATACAGAAATTCCTATGGATCCGGCCACACTCACCTCCTTTATTGGCGGCATCCACTGCCTCTGCTGGCAGCCCAAACTGACTCATCAACGGGCCCAACTGGCAGGAAGCAAGAGCAGCACTGAACATGCTCAGGGCCTGGAACAGAGCAGAGTCATTATGAGGACAGCGCCATCATCCCTATTCCACACACAGAATAAAACTCAAACGTATCCCTTTTCTAGAAGAGGAGGAATGATGGTGATTGTGTAATGTGCAGGGGACAGAGGAAGCAGAGGAGACACTTGTGGGATGTAACAGACTGGAGTATATGTATTATGACTGGCGGTGGGGAGGTCAGGGAGGGATGTGCTGTGATAAGAAGGTGAGGGGTATGTATTACGACTGGCGGTGGGGAGGTCAGGGGGGGGATGTGCTGTGATTAGAAGGTGAGGGGTATGTATTATGACTGGCGGTAGGGAGGCATGTGCTGCTCCTGGGAAAGTCACATGACATAGTAAGGGAAGTCATGGAACAAAGGCTTTCTGTATCTGGGGGCCGGGCACCACACTAATCAGAGGTCAGCATAGAGTGGGGGACTAATAAATCACACTGCCATTGTAGGGAAGTGGCTGGAAACATACAACCTACATGATGTGTGGCTACAAAGAGAACAAGAATTGAATTCATGACACTGTTGTCACCCCACAAATGTTATCGCTGACCCTCCTCCAATAAACCAACATTACATCACAGGACGGCCTTCTCAGCCTGAAACGTGCCCCTGGCTGGTGTGAGTAAAGGCAACTAGTCTATGAGATGAACCATAGTCACTAGAAGAACGTGTACATGTCCTCGGTGGTGGAGCGCTCCATCCACAATCTGTCACCATTACAGGACTGACGACTCACCTGCTGGAACTGAGGAGAGGTAAGTGTGTTCTGGATCTCCTCTGCAGTCTGCGGCAAAGACTCTCCAGAAGGGAGGTACGGCATTAATCTCTCCTGAACCTCTGAGTTAGCCAGGATGGGAGCCATTATTTCTGGAGTGAGGACGCTCGCCAAGTCCACTGTAGGAGGGGGAAGCAGAACACGGGTTTTATCTTTTCTAGGTACAGGCCACGGACATTGCACACGATGTACAGAAAACTGATCACATCCATCCAGTCTACTGACCCCATCACAGATGGGAAGCACACTCTCTAGGGCCAATCTGGTGATAAGACAACTGGCCCACTAGAATACGATCAGTCGGCAGACATCCATCACCATACACAAGGAAGTCAACCAATCACACAACATGTCAGCACAAAGTAATGTGTTCCTCTAATAGCCCGCCTCATGACAGGGACCACTTACCTTGCTGGCCACCTTCCCCTGTGGCAGGCACATTCATGGTGGCGAGGATGTTCTGCAGGTCACTTAGCTGGATGGCCTGTGTTGGGCTTGTAGCAGCGCTGGCAGCAGCACTGGTAGCTGCGCTGGCACCATTGCCAGAGCTCACTGCGGGGCTGGGTGTTACTGCAGGGACTGTCGCTGGAGCTGCTGGGGTAGTGGTGGTGGTTCTTGTGGAAGACGTAGTAGATGACGGGGTCACGGCTGCCGATTGGCTGCGAGAACTACAATGTAAAGAGTAAAAGTGAACATAGGAATATGACATCTACAGGAGCCCCATACAGGGTAACACCAGCACTGGTTTGGGATTCATTATCAGTAAAGAAAAGATGTGCTGAGCACATAACTGATACACATGATATCTATAAATCACATGACCCGGTACACTGACCTGTGTCCACATACACAAGACACACATGTGATTCATATGACAGATCTTACCTGGAAGAAGAGCTGCTGGTTGTAGGACCTCCGCTGCCCAACAAACTGGCCAGTCCTGGACCTGTTAGAGCTCCGAGACCTCCTGCCAGAGACGGGAATGGTAAATGACACACAACTGACACTTCCTTCCTCTACTAATGTGAAGCAAAGACTAGAGATAAGCAGATTGGTTCCACAGATCGGGATTACTCATCTACTACAAATCTAAATAAACTCGCAAAATCCAACCTGAAATCCGCTCACAAAAATGGAATCTTTTATCTCACGTGGATCTCCCGGTCTAATGTCCCCGCTATGGTCAGGGATATGGTCCCCGGTGGAAGAATATAATTTCCTATCACTGGACTTGTGTTATCATTGGTGACTCCGTGTTGGCAATCTCAGCAGTTTCTATAACTAGGACTGTGTTGGACCTGATGAGAGAAAACAGCAGCAAACTTACCAAGTCCCCCCAGACCAGTGGGTCCAATAAGCTGCATCAGCTGGTTATGGCTCATATTTCCCAGCAGGCTTTGCAGGCCTCCTTCTCCTATAAGACAAGAGAGTGAGTGAGACACACAGGAGCAAACAATGTTATGCCAGCCATACAAAGCAACGTAGAGCCAGAGGACCCTGCGGCTTGGTGTGACTGGCCTGAAGATATCCGAGAACAGTAATAAGGGGGACAGGGGGGGGCTGGAGTTGGCCTTTGAGCTCTGCCTCCAGTATCACACAAGCCTTGCCTTCTTACTCTGCTCCTATTAATTGTGTTCTGTAAGAATATGTTGTCACAGTGAGGTTCTGATACACAGCACAGTCCTTTACACCCATGACATGTATCACTACAGGTACTCTTTACACTTTGCATTGATAGGAAAACACAGCCAGCTACGCCCCCTTTATTCAGGTTTTAGATGGAGTAACACTTGAATACCTCACATGGTCTTTGTACTGTAATATATGAGATCTATAACAGACAAACTAGAATGTGATATTCACCTCCCAGTGCAGAGAGCTCATGGCCTCCGCTGCCACTTCCACCCAGGGCTCCGGGCATAGGGGGGTTATTGAGATACTCGTTCACCTTGCGGCAGTACTCTTCATCCTTATCAGTCTTGGGTTCCTGGAAAATAAAAATGTGACATCATCAAGAAGAATTCCAGCTCCACACCTGAAATCCATATCAGAACAGCGTGACCTACCACGTTTATCTTGTTACACATCAAGAGGGAAACATAACTTATCAGAGCCTGCAGCGTCCGGTGTCCCTTTATACCTCTAGGTATCACCACACTGCTCAGGTCCTCCCTACACTTCCTGTCAGATCATCTCCCCTTTCAGTTCCCAGTGCCTGAAACATGCTAAAGAGACAGCACAGTGCACTACAGCAAAGGTCAGCTACAGATAAGAACGAGCGGTCTTGGAGTCAATGAACAGCTAGACTAATGGTGGTGTAAGGGATTATATATGAAGTGTGCACCCATTATTGACCTAGAGTGCACTACATCTCACACACACACCTTACACACACCTTACACACACCTTGGTCTAATTTAACCGATTAATCGAACTTAATAATCGGCTAACTAATCGATTTTGAAAATAATCGTTAGCTGCAGCTCTAAACTGAACCTGTATAGAGCTGCCAGTACTGATTTGGTGCAGGTTCTGCATATTGGCTTCACTACCCAGTCAATGACCTTCGGCAAGCAAGCAGCTAGTGAATTCCACAAGGTCTACATTCCTGTATACTAATTCCAGGTAAGTGACTTATGCACGGCAGTTTCATTCCGCCACGACTATTCCAGCAGCCGCAAGACACATTACGAAGTGACGAGTCATGGAACCGCAACAAGAGCTCTACCGCGCTATGATTTTCTGATTTTAAAGTTGGCTTGGACGAAGAACACTGTATACAGAGGTTACACTCTGCATTTGGGGGATGAAGCACCATCCCGGGCAACTATCTTCCGATGGCTTAGAGAATTTAGAAGGGGCCGTAGTTTGCTACAGGACGACCAACATACGGGAAGGCCCGCTACAGCAGTCATTCCAGAAAATGATAAATGAGGACACCCGCTCTCGTTGCCGCTCCATGACTTGTCACTTTGTAATGTGTCTTGCAGCTGCTGGAATAGTCCTAGCGGAACGCAACTGCTGCGCATACGTTTCGAAGAAGTTGGATTTTAACACATGTGCAGTAAAGAATTCGTAAACTACCTAGGTTTTCAATATCTCAAAAATGTCAGTTACCCGCGTATCATCATGCTCCAGCCTCTGGGAGTCATGCCTGTGGCTGTCAGGAGCCTTGCAATGCCTTATGGGACTTGTAGTTCCACAACAGCTGGAGTGCTGAGGTTGCCTACCCCTGCACTAGGAAGAGAAGCTAGAATAAAGGCTCCACAGCATACACCTAGAATAAAGCAACGGAGACTCCTAATCGTCTATACTAAAAGACTGTCGGTTCTTGTGGAGCTGTCCAAATAATTCTGTGTAAGAAGTAAAGATAATCCATAGCGTTGAACTGCCTTTTACAGCCGGCCAATGGCATCATCACAAGACAGCTATAGTGGTCACCTGGATGACTCAGTAGCTG